TTCCCACAGGGCATCCAGCAATCAGACAGATTTTAGACAGAAAAGAACTCGCCTACATCTTCAGATATCGGTGCGGCTGGTTAACTGTCAAGAGGGTGAGTGTGGGGATGGGAGTGGCACATCTAGCCCTGAGCCAGAGGTTTGATCTGTGATCAATTACATGTTGGCTAAAAAACATAAACACGTTATTTTCTTTTCTAATAGTGGGAAAGTCAAACAGCTTTATGTGCTCTAGCGCTCTGAATCAGCACGTGGACCAAACCAAAACATGAAATAAGGAGGGGTGGGGTCAGAGGCTGACTGGATTTTTTCATTTGTTCCCAAAAACAAATGAAAAAATGCTAGAAAACGAACACGTTTTAATGTAAACATTATTTTATGCTGACAGGGCAATAATATTCACACAAAAAACAAAACTGAATCTTCTACTCTTGTCTGGAGCCCCTGTCAGGCATGGGCCCTGCAACAGGCAGAGCACCTCATTGAACAAAGCACTGATCACAGGGCAGACAACCACCAGTTGATCTAACATGCATATTTGTGGACAGTGGGAGGAAGCTGAAGCACCCAGATGACCTTAGATGACAGTATGGTTTGTATCCTTCTTGCTGTGAGACAACAATGTTAACCACCCAGATAGCAAAACAAGAAAATGTTGGAGTTTTTTTTGGACAGTTACTTGCTTTTTAACGATTAAACCAGTAGTTTTGTGGAGGGTTGCTGCCCCCAATCAGAAACCATCACTAAATTAAACTTTAGCACTAAAGGCATTAGAAAAATGATCCATACCTTTGTTACCTCTACTATACAGGGAGTGCAGAATTATTAGGCAAATGAGTATTTTGTCCACATCATCCTCTTCATGCATGTTGTCTTACTCCAAGCTGTATAGGCTCGAAAGCCTACTACCATTAAGCTATTAGGCGATGTGCATCTCTGTAATGAGAAGGGGTGTGTCTAATGACATCAACACCCTATATCAGGTGTGCATAATTATTAGGCAACGTCCTTTCCTTTGGCAAAATGGGTCAAAAGAAGGACTTGACAGGCTCAGAAAAGTCAAAATAGTGAGATATCTTGCAGAGGATGCAGCAGTCTCAAATTGCAAAGCTTCTGAAGCGTGATCATCGAACAATCAAGCGTTTCATTCAAAATAGTCAACAGGGTCGCAAGAAGCGTGTGGAAAAACCAAGGTGCAAATACTGCCATGAACTGAGAAAAGTCAAGCGTGCAGCTGCCAAGATGCCACTTGCCACCAGTTTGGCCATATTTCAGAGCTGCAACATCACTGGAGTGCCCAAAAGCACAAGGTGTGCAATACTCAGAGACATGGCCAAGGTAAGAAAGGCTGAAAGACGACCACCACTGAACAAGACACACAAGCTGAAACGTCAAGACTGGGCCAAGAAATATCTCAAGACTGGTTTTTCTAAGGTTTTATGGACTGATGAAATGAGAGTGAGTCTTGATGGGCCAGATGGATGGGCCCGTGGCTGGATTGGTTAAGGGCAGAGAGCTCCAGTCCGACTCAGATGCCAGCAAGGTGGAGGTGGAGTACTGGTTTGGGCTGGTATCATCAAAGATGAGCTTGTGGGGCCTTTTCGGGTTGAGGATGGGGTCAAGCTCAACTCCCAGTCCTACTGCCAGTTTCTGGAAGACACCTTCTTCAAGCAGTGGTACAGGAAGAAGTCTGCATCCTTCAAGAAAACATGATTTTCATGCGGACAATGCTCCATCACACGCGTCCATGTACTCCACAGCGTGGCTGGCAAGAAAGGGTATAAAAGAAGAAAAACTAATGACATGGCCTCCTTGTTCACCTGATCTGAACCCCATTGAGAACCTGTGGTCCATCATCAAATGTGAGATTTACAAGGAGGGAAAACAGTACACCCTCTGAACAGTGTCTGGGAGGCTGTGGTTGCTGCTGCACGCAATGTTGATGGTGAACAGATCAAACACTGACAGAATCCATGGATGGCAGGCTTTTGAGTGTCCTTGCAAAGAAAGGTGGCTATATTGGTCGCTGATTTGTTTTGTTTTGTTTTTGAATGTCAGAAATGTCTATTTGTGAATGTGGAGATGTTATATTGGTTTCACTGGTAAAAATAAATAATTGAAATGGGTATATATTTGTTTTTTGTTAAGTTGCCTAATAATTATGCACAGTAATAGTCACCTGCACACACAGATATCCCCCTAAAACAGCTAAACTAAAAACAAACTAAAACTACTTCCACAAACATTCAGCTTTGATATTAATGAGTTTTTTGGGTTCATTGAGAACATGGTTGTTGTTCAATAATAAATTATTCCTCAAAAATACAACTTGCCTAATAATTCTGCACTCCCTGTAACTCAGGATTGCCCAGTTTCGCTCTTTTTTTGATTGAAGATGGTTCAAAACCCGCTGTGTGGTACAAAGAAAAACACACCCCTCCCATTTAAGCTCAATTGCACTGGCTGCCTGTGAAATTTCGATTGAATTCAAAATTATATAATTTGTTTATAGACCTCCTCTATGGTTCAGCTATACAATTTATCACAATTTTTTAACTACAGATTTTTGCCTCAGGGAACTCAGACCATCCTCGTAGCATCTTCTACCAGTTTCCCATTCTCACCTAAAAGATAAAGGCACCTTGTCCTTTGCTGTTATTGCCCCCAGGGTCTAGAATTGACTGCAACACCACAATAAAAACTTGTCAAACAACTGAGAAATAGCTTTATAAAGACCCGTTACCTGTTTTCACTTGCTTTTATTCACATCTGAGGCTTCATGGTTTTGTTACGTCTACTGTGAACATTTGTCTTATTAATTTCTTACTAGTAGAGATGAGAATTGAGAACTAGTTCTTGTAGAGAACCGGTTCTCTTGTGACTGTTGTGGTCTGAAATTGGGTTTTTGTAGACCTGCAATGTAAATGTGTTTACTTTGGAAGCACTTTTGGTCATCTCCTATTATTATATTGTGCTACATAAATAAAACTGACTTAAATTGACATTTTTATTTATACTGGCTATATAATGGCGCTAAAAAGAAACATTAAAAGTCAGAAAACCTGAAAACGTTTAGATAGGCGCTCTGATGAAATGCTGCCCCCTTCTGTTAAAATTGACTGATGTTTTTTATTTTATTTTAAAAAACCTCTGAATTTAATCTTGACAGATATACCATTTCCTATCCTCTTTTTCTAAAATATTTATTAATACCAATATAAGTTTTTAAATTGTGCCTCAGACAAAGTTCAGACATGAACACGACACGACTCCATGTTGCTTATAAATTATTTATTATGTTGAGATTTATTTTATTTTATTTATTTAAAGAAGCAGTGATGTTATTTGGTCTAATAAATTTCACACTCGAGTTGTGGCCAGTCTTTATCTTGCAAGCTCGGGTCCTCTACCAGAGGCTTGGGAGGGTCCTGCACAGTATCTTGGCTGTTCCCAGGACTGCACTCTTGGTAAATGGTAAATGGACTGATTCTTATAGCGCTTTTCTTCTCTCCCAGAGTACTCAAAGAGCTCTATACAACATGCCACATTCACACGCACTCATAAACTCAAGTACAACTAATAAACATTCACACTCCGATGAACGCATCGGAGGGTAATTTGGGGTTAATATCTTGCCCAAAGACATTTGGCATGCAGACTGGGGAAGCCAGGAATCAAACCACCAACCTTCCAGTAGCTGATCTGCTCTACTGCCTGAGCCACAGCCTGAGCTCTTCTGGACAGAGATCTCAGATGTTGTTCCTGCAATATGCTGGAGCCACTCGCCCAGTTTTGGAGGTCACTGCCCTGAGTGCTCCAATTGCACTGGGACCACTGTTGCCTTCACATCTTCTTGAGCTCCTCTTTTGGCCCTTGGTATTTCTCCAGCTTCATGTTCCTTCTTCCTGATGTTGCTATCACTTGGTATAGCTACATCTATCAATACAGCTTCCTCTGCTTATCCGTCACTACTGTCAGGTTGGTTAGCCATCACCAGTTTGCCTGTCTGTATCTCTAAGTCCCACAGTATCTTAGCTTCATCATTCTTGACCATCCTAGGGGGCGGCGCCCATTTTGACCTGAGGACTTTCAGGCCAAACTAAGCACAGTGTATGCTATGCCTGCCACTTGGTTATAGCGTTGCATCTACACCCTGCCTGCTAGCATTTTGCACCACAAAAACACATATTTTCACAATTTATAAGAGAGTGACGCTTCTTTATTGAACGCTCTGTATGTGAGACTTTCCATTGTTGCCTCACCAGACAGTAAAGGGGACACTGAAATAGAGATGAATTGTACCTGACAGCAGGGAAGTTGTAGTGAGGCAGTAACACTGTGTAAACAGACGGTGACATCAAGAGGTGCACACAATAAAAAACAACTGAGCAAAAAGCAGTGAGGGAGCCGGGCACTGATAGACAAAACATGTTTCTACTGCAGTGGCCTCTACAGAACAAATGGTATTTTCTTTTGATGGCATACAAACCAGGAGCGCCTGAGTTAATGTTTAAACCCACTGTAGGGTGTCTTCCTCTCTCGTGCTCACATTTTTTAGAATTATTACCAACATAACACAGTCTTGCCGGGGGCGGGGCCACTGGGGGGGGGCAGCAAATTTTACAGAGTGGCCAGTGCCCTCCCTACATACATGGAACATTTGTTTGGCAGCTTTTTGTATAGCATATTTCCACGTGCTGAAGCTGCAGTTAGGGGGAATTCTGCAGTGGCAAACATGGTGTTCGAAGCAGAACTTCCCAGGGGAAAAACTAAATTAAATTAAAGCTTTATTTTGTCATAAAGATGGTAACCCTCTTAAACAGTTAATCTGACTGGTGATTCTGTACATACGGTGACCACTGAAAATGAATTCAGTTGTAACAATACTTCAAGGGCACCACTGCAGCCTCAAACACAGCTTGAACATTTAGATGTTCGTGATGTCACTGATGACACGTCTATCAACTCTGCTTTGGTTGATAATGTCCACCAACGGGAAGACAGGTTATTATTATATAAAACTAATTTCATGTGTTTCACAGTTTGTTGAAGCTACTTTAATTTGCTGGACTTGAATCTGAAAATAATCCAAAGTTGATGATGATGATCTACAAAGTCTCCAAGATTTTTATTTATCCTTGTGAGCGGTAAGAAGAGAGGAGGTGAAGTGTATTTGTGTTGGTGAGGTGAAGGCTGGTTAGCTGTGCTGGGAAAAATACAGTATTTACATATGTACAGTTAGGAAAATAACCTCTTGTATCAGCCTGTCTCAGTCTCAGCTTCTTCTTTTTTCACAGCCTTTGATATATACACTATATTACACACAATAATTCTCCCAACTATACAGCACGTGACTTTTTGCACTGAAGGAAATCTGATTCACGAGGAATTCTGTTCGGTCTGTCCATGTCATCAGCTTTTTATACATCATTAAAAAGAAATGTGTTGGCTTTTTTGCATTTAACATCAAGAACCATGATTTGTCAACACAAGCAGTCCAAGCAGGTCACCAACAACCCAGAAAGTTCCTGGAGCAAGATGCTCTGCTCAAGTTCCTCTACTGCCGTTTGCAGATTGTGGAGCCTCAGGTGGAGGGAGGGGAAGGAGAGGAGGGGGAGCGGGGAACGGGGCTCGGGCTGGGAAAATGGACCGGTTTGTGCATCGGACTCGAACGGCAGCTTCCCGGTTCTTCTTCCACCTCCCTCCTGGCTCCTCCTCTTCCTTTTCCTCCCCCTGCTCCGTGCCCCTCCAGTCCCTCAGAGTTCTCCAGCATCTCCTGGATGAGAGGAGGCATGGAGCCAGGGATCTCCATTTTCAGTGTGATCACTCGCTCTGCTCCTAAGAGAAAGCGTTTCAGAGAGAAGGTCAGCATAACGGCCTTGGTGGAATAAAACATCACAGGAGGAATGAATTCTTAAACTTTAAAATTCATTTACTTTTCATTTAGATATTAATGAAGGATAATGCACTGCTGGGAAACCACCATTACATTTTAGATAAGAAAGATCATGAGTCCAGCTGTAGCTCTAACAATGTTTGTTTCAAACACAAGAGGTTAGTATTTGCCAGTTAATGTGTGTGTGTGTAAATGTGTTACCTTTAACACTGATGCTCCTGAGGTCAGTAATCTTCATCAGTATCTTGGGGAACATGCAGGGTTTGTCAGGCCGCCTCCTCCTCACATAGAGCTACAGGCACAGGTGATGAACATATTCTTTTATGACGCCATTTTTCATAACAGTTATTGAAAGCTCGTGTGTTTTTAGGAAGAGGTGTTATCATCCACGATAATACCCATGTACAGTGCTCCCTCGTTTATCGCGGGAGTTACGTTCTAAAAATAAATCCGTGACGTAGTCAGCTTTATTTCTTACAATTATTATAGATGTTGTAAGGCTGTAAAACTCCTCACACTTTCACACTTTTCTCTCTTGTTTAACACTCAAACCTTCGTAGAAAAATAAGCCCAGTATTATAGAATGAAACCAAACCCGCAGGTGCCTTTGATGGTGCAAAATGTTTAGTTGACATTGCTGTTTTTTTGGGGGGGAAACTTACAAACATACAGCGCAGGACTTCAATGCTAGCAATCAAAGATTTATGTACATTTGACAAGCTGAACACATTCTGTACTGGACAGGAGACACAGCACGAGATTGATTGACAATGGTCTGCAGCCAATCAGGACGCAGAACACAATGTGCTGTTAAAAAAAAGAAAAAAAGAAAAGCAAAATGGCACAAAAAATCAGCGAAACAGCGAGGCCGCAAAAGGTGAACCGCGTTGTAGCGAGGGACCACTCTACACGTTTTTAGTGACTTTCCATGGAAAACACATTTTAGCTCTATTTGTGCTTACTTAAAAGCCCTTCGTTTAGCTTTACTGCTGATGCCTGCAGACTCCAAGTATCAAGAAAATGTTTTTCAGTATTTTGTGTTGTCGAAATATTCTTCAAATACTGAGACATGATTTTGAGGCTATATCACCACGTTTAGTAGGAACAATTGAATGAAACTCATACACGCTGTAACACACTGATGTATTTACACACAACCGATTAACCGTAATGCCCCATAACCCAGGACGGCGAACCAATGTGCACATCAGGATAGGCCCGGTCTCTGATTGATGGGGTTAATGTTGCATCTTTACTTTCACTGGTAACTGTTGTGGTGATTCGGTGCAATAGAAACACAGCTGAACTGAATTGAAATGAAGTGAACTGAATATAAGCAGCATCTCAACATTTTCTTTGATATTCCAACAGGAGCTGCTTGAATGATGCCGGTCAGAGCACTCCTGAGATTAGTGTTTAAGAATGTGCATCAGCAGTTAACCATCAACTGTTTTCTAATCAGCACTGATGTACGCTAAAACTCTCCAAACACAAATAAACAGCTTTAACCAAAGAAATGCAAAGAGCAGTTTACACTACGGACAAACCAAGAAAGAAGCACCAAGTCTTCATGGAGTAAAATATTCATGCACAGATGGAATAAGTATTTAAATTAGAGCTGGGCGATAGAACGATAACGATATGTATTGCGAAATAACTTTTTCTCGATAGAAAAGTTAAACTATTGTGATAGGCCTCATCTCTCTTGTCCTCTTAAAAAAAAAAAAGAAGAAGAAGAACAGCCAATCCAAATTAACGAACCAGAGCCGAACCAATCACAGCCACAACGTCACGTGACTTGTTACGTACAGCACAAGTGCCAAGCCGCACATGTGTATTTGTTTGGGAAGCAGCGAGCCGCCGTGCCGCCCGGGTAATGGAGGAAATGAGTGTGCCGACTAGAAAAATCAACCGAGAGCGTGACCGAAGGTTACCGAAGAGAAAACAGATGATGGTTCCAACGCCGGAGAGATTGTCGAACGGAAGAGCCATAGAAGTTCCGTAGTGTGAAGGTATTTTGGCTATTTCAAGTCTGACAACAAACAGAGTAGCGCGCACTGTAAATGTGCCGAAAGCAAGTCTGGAAATACAATAAAGCGGTGCATGCTCAATCTCTGACTGGAAGCGCTAATTTGTCATTCGGCTTTTGTCAGACTAAAGTAACTGTTAAAACTGTTTGAAAAGCTCAGCTATACAACAAGGAGAGATTGAGAATTTCCTTTTAGTTCTCAGTTTATTTGATATTGACAAAAGTTAGTCAGTTTTGTCTGTTCTTCTGTAAAACAAACTAAGATTTATTTTTAGAATTAATATTTTGTTTCTAAGTGGAATTGACAGTTTAGTCTGTTTCGTTTGTTCTATTTTGAAACTTAAACGCTTTAGCGGCTGCCTTTTGTGTAGTTTGCAATATTTGCCTTTATTTATCTGAAAAAGTCTCATGTTCCTTAAGTACATCTACCCTGTTGAACTTATTATGGGAAATAATATTTAAATAAAAACAAGCTGCTGATTATTTCACATTTTACTTGTGAGCAACGGCACATTTAAATCTTACAAATATAGTTATTTGGCTTATATCGTGATAGATATCGTTATCGCCTGAAATGAAAAAAACATATCGTGATATGAAAAAATCTCATATCGCCCAGCTCTAATTTAAATAAATGGAAAGAATGTTATTTAGGGTTATACAGTAGCATTGAAGTAACTGATTACTTGACTACAACAAGTAAAATTCAGGATTCCTCTCTTGCTCTTCATGACCAATCATTGTTCTCCACTGAAACTAGTTCAACACACGTGGGCAGCTACTAATCTCTATCCTGTCAGCTGAACACACTCTCTCTCTCTCCCTCCTCCTCCATCAGTGCGCATCAGTGAGTCACACCGCCGCGTGAAGTGGCGTGTGTCCTGATTAACATGAACATGAGCGCCAAATGTCACTTTATTAAGATAACTCCTTTTAAAGCTTTGTGCCTTCAGTAAAGACACACTGTGCTTAGAGCGCAGAAACACAGATACGCACATCTGTTCAACTGCACACGTTAGTTTTGTACAGCAAAGTTTATGCTCAAGAATGGAAGTCGAGTAATAACTTAAAGTCTAACCTTCAAAGCTTCGAGCATCGGCTCCTGAAGAATATCCACCTTCTCTGATTCCTCCAGATCCTGACGATCTGTGAAAAACAAATAACAAACACAAAGCATCGCTTCAGTGTCAGTATGTCTCCTTTGTCTTTCCTTTCACTCATGCTGCTGCGACACACAGTGCAGTACCTCCACAGAGCAGGCAGATGGCACTGAGTAACCCCGTTTCTGCATCATCCATTTCCAGCGGGAGCAGCTGGTTGGCAAAGGCGAACACCAGGTCTGTGAGCGGTCCGAACCCGGCGTTGTGCATCTGAGTACGATTGAGGGTGAGGCCGTCGGAGAAGGTCATGGTGTCCTGGTCTGGAGTGTAGCGGGTGCAGATCCTCAGAATCTAGGAAAAGGATTCATTATCTGTTTAGTAACTCTTTGTTATAACGGAGGCCGACGTGTCAGAGGCGTTCAGTTTCCATCCGCGACGTCTGTTTGTGAGAAATTGTTTATTGCAGCTTGCAGGAAATCCTCACCAGTATGTCGAGGCATGCGGCTTTGAGCAGCGTGATCTGATCAGCGATGGTTAGGGTGGTGAAACCTGGGAGCTGCTTAGCAAACTCCACTGTCTTAATAATGCATTTGGTAGACAGTTCGCTGAACTTGTCCCAGAGACTCACATCCAGAGCCACGCGCTGCTCCGAGCTGTTGCTCTGCAGGATAGAAGAGAAACCAAAGGCCGATTGAATAAAAATCAGTTTTTGACCTTCAGTTTTTGAACTCACATACGCTCGTCTGTGTGTGTGTGTGTGTGTGTGTGAGTACCGTGGTGTATTTTCCCAGCTGACAGAGGGAGGGGAATGTATCCTGATGGGCCCGGCGAACTCGTTCGATCATCTGCTCCATGTCTGCTGACAGGACGTAGAGCTCTGTGTCGGGCTGCTTCTTCTCTTCCTTCTTCTTCTTTGTTCGGTCATTTCGCACCACTTGGAATGGAAATGAAGATGAGAGGATTTAGCTGAGAACATTCATCCCCATGAAGAATCTGCAATCCACCGTAAGACGTCGGACACCTGAAATACTTCCCCGTTTAATATGCAGCCACTTCACTTAGCACATGGACTGGAAACAACTAGCCTGGAGACTGTTTCACGAATTAGCCCTAAAAGTCCAAAATTATTAAGTTTCTTTTTATTTGCAGATTGACTCAACACTAAACGGGGGTTCATGTCTCAAACTGCTGCTTACAGTTAACACCACTCTCTTTTTTCACAGGAAGCAAAATCTGCCAAACAGCATCTGTTCCAGACCAGGGTAAGGGAAAGTTTTCCTTTTCATGAAATAAATGAGTATAATCACATCTACTACATTCATACTGACTTGATTCTTGGTTCACACGCTGTGCATTATGAAATGATATGAAAAAGCAGCCAGCATAGGACAGGAGCAACTTTCAGGGCCATGTGTTAACTAGGAACGACCACCAGAGGGAGACAAACAACAAGGTTAGAATACAGCACTGAGGCCCAGAAGTCAGGAAAAGTCTTTCCCCATAAACACATATACACCCCCTGTAAGTGCTTCCTATCTAATATTCACATAAGTCTGAAATGCAGGGATTGAAGCACCGACCTTCTGATTAGTAGCTGACCAACTCTACCTCCTGAGCCACAGCCACCCCAAAGAGTAAAACTGCAAGACCTCTAAGCAACTTAAAGCATTTGCCTGCTTAAGAAGCTCCCTTTCTTCCACACACCCACAAAAATCAACCTGCGCCCGTACTCACGCTCTTTAGACATGCCCACATCCAGGCACTTCTGCAGTCGACATGACTGACACCGGTTCCTCGTCACTTTGTTGATGACACAGACTTTGTCCCGGTGGCACGTGTACACCATGTTCTTCTGGATGCTCCTCCGAAAGAAACCCTGACAGAGAGAAACAGATGTTGAGAAAAAGGGTAACAGAAAGCGCTGTGAGCGTGTGCAGGAGCTGGAACTGGAATGAAAACTGCAGAATTATTTCAACTGTAACAAGTGTAATCCTGAAGTGACTCATTCAGCTGATGGGCTGCTGGGCGGAGGTCTAACAGAACATGAGTCTGACCACAAGCACATCAAAGCACACACACACACACACACACACACACACACACACACACACACACACACACACACACACACACACACACACACAGCAATATCAAAGCAGACACTAATTGCACAGACAGATCCTTTGTGTGTCTCTACAGGATTAGATGAAGCCACGAGGCTTAGAGATCCTCGGGTGGCATAAAGGTCGTGACCTCTTTGCTGACACTTTCTGCAAATACTCCGAAGTCTCTTGCTCTATACGCTGCCATTTAAGTCGGCTTTCAAACTGTAGATGAAGTTTTATGGTCCAGAAGGAGCACTGTGGCTTAGTGTGCATGTTTTCCAAACTCAAGTGCTTATGTTTCGCTGCCTACCTTGCAGCCTTCGCAGGCGCTGACTCCATAATGGTATCCTGATGATTTGTCCTGGCAGACAAAGCAGGGTTTGTAGATACGAGGTGGTGGAGGAGGTGAGGGAGGACTGGGGACAAGCAGGTCCTCCCCTGAGCTCGTGCTCTCGGTCTCTATGGCTGCAAAAGAGATTTACATGCAATCAGGCTACAATTTACAAAGAGCAAATAATCCTCATTTATGTCATCCTGGAGCTCTGCCTGTCTGAAAGGAGACTTTTCTTTAACCTTCAAGTGACTGAGTGGAGTCGTTTATGACACACATGTATTTATTAGTGCCGATGTGGCCTTTTTTGGACTGATTCTTATTCTTATATAGTGCTTTTCTACTCTCCTGGAGGACTCAAAGCGCTGTATACAACACGCCTCATTCACCTATACACACAAGCACTCTATGCTTTGTCAGTGCTTTAGCTAACATACACATTCATACTCTGATGTATGCATCAGAGAGCAAGTGGGGGTTAGTATCTTGCTCAAGGATATTTGGCATGGAGACTGAGGGAGCCAGGAATCAAACCACCTTCTGATCTGCAGATGACCTGCTCTACCTCCTGAGCTACAGCCACCCCGTCCATCATCCATCAGTGTTTTTCATCCAATGTTCCTTGTCTGGGTTCAGATCACAGGGGTACCAGTCTCAGCTGAGCAGCCCAAACTTCCCTCTCCTTGGTCACGTCTTCCAGCTCATCCAGGGCTGGGGGCACACTGAGTTGTTCCCAAACTGGCCAACATATATACTCCCTCCTGGGTCTGATCCGGGACCTCCTCCCAGTAGGTTTTGCTCGGAACACCTCGCCTACAAGGTGTCCAAAAGGCATCCTAGTCAGACGCCTAATTCAACTCAACCAGCTTCCTCTCGAATGACCGAGCTCCTCACGCTATCTCTAAGAGCACAGCCACCCTTTGAAGGAAACTTCTCGTTCTTTTGGGGATTCCCCAGAGCTCAGGCTAAAAACTACTCACCTGGGATAGTAACTCATCCCTCACCTGGTTCCTTTTTGGACACTCAAAAATACATCGTCAAGTACAATCAGGCTATGAAAGCAAGTGAGGAGGAGATATCACTGGAGTACTCGCTAGTCATACTCTACCTGTGGATGGAAATTACTGATGCAGTGTTAAAGGAGGGCTTAAAGGTACGAAATAATATTTTATTTCAATGCGACAACATTGTGCATGCCCTGAACAGTTACAGGGATAAGTTCCCTCAGTTACTGGCTATCACTGTAGTCTTGCACTGTAATGCTGTTGTTGCTGCCACAACAGCAGCTGCTGCAATCACAGAAAACGTTTTGAGGTACATTCCTCACCCCTAAATGTGAGATAGTGAAAGGCCATGGGTATCTGGCTGGTGTGGGCAAACAAATAACGGAAAAAACAAAACAAACTAATATGGATATTTATTATAATTTATATTTAAGGGAACTTCTGAGATGATGTTAGCCGAGCAAACTCACAGTAATCAGCTCAACCATCCAGCACCGGACACACTTGGCCCGACAAAGCTGGATCACATCAGCCTGCTGATCAGAGTTGCTGTGTGTTAGCACTAAGTGCTGCTCTGCTCCTGAGTCTCTGTCAAAGCTGACGCCTTGTTTTGTTCAAAGGTAAACTTCAACGGTGATTTACTTTGGAGGTCTCGGCCCTTCAGATTAACAAACCCTACTCCCTCTCCCACTTTGCCTCCTCTGACCTAACACATTCTCTCTCTCTCTCTCGCACGCACGCACGCACACACACACACACACACACACACACACACACACACACACACACACACACACACACACACACGTCTACCCTCCCCCTTTAGTAGCCATACCAGACATTCCTCTATGGAGGAGATTCAACTCCCCTCTACTCTGCTGTGCTTCTGTTTACACAGAGAGAAACGCAGAGATCCTCCTCCTCTGCCGCATCATACCATTCCTCCATCTTCTCCTCACTTCATCTTTCCTCTATTTGCCTTTGCTCTCTTCTCACTGACACTCTAGCCATGCATTCCCTGAAGCACCGTCTGACCTCTTTTAAACTTCTCACTCAGACCCGCCTCTCGCCATGCGTTCCCTCCCCTCTGCTTACCAAGTGCCTCTTTCTCTGTTTTCATCTTTGTGTTTGTTAATCTCTTCCTATTGCTTTCCACTTCTGCTTCAGTGTGTCGGACATGACGGCCACAGGCAGCAGTGTGTCCACGCACACACGCACACACACACACACTCACACGCACACACACACACACACACGCGCGCGTGTGTGTGTGTCGGACATGACGGCCACAGGCAGCAGTGTGTCCACGCACACACGCACACACACACACACTCACACGCACACACACACACACACACACACACGCGCGCGTGTGTGTGTGTCGGACATGACGGCCACAGGCAGCAGTGTGTCCACGCACACACGCACACACACACACACGCGCGCGCGCGCGCGCGCGTACACACACACACACACACACTCACACGCACACACACACACACACACACACGCGCGCACACACACGCGCGCGCGCGCGCGCGCGCGCGCACACACACACACACACACACACACGCACACACACGCACACACACGCACACACGCACACACACACACACACTGCAGCGCTGGAGCTGTGGCTCCAAACGAGGGCAAAGGTCTTTACTGTATAAGCGAGTAAGAGGGCATCTCCAAAGACGGGTCTCCAACTTGATTTAGGAACAGATGCTAGTGTTTTGATCAATTTTGAGCACATCTACAGTTATTCATTTGAAATAATTCTACAAAAAAGCAAACAAACAATAAGACAAAGATTTAAGTAAACAGATCTTTTTATGTCACAGTGTTTTGGGGGGTTGGATTTAAATTTAAAAAATAAACTTATTAAACATATTAAAGACTTTTAATTTCCTGAAATCAAAACTTTAGGAATTTTGGAACCAACAACTGGAGACAGCTGCTGTAAATGTTGGGCCAAGTTTCTCAAGAAGGGAAACTTCAGCATCTGGTGACCTCCATGGTTCCTGTCTTCACACACTTACTGACCGCAGAGGATTTTTAGCTCATTTTTGCAAAGAATAATCCCAATAATTACAACTAATCACAGTTTTTCCAGTCCTTTTAAGCCTGTGACTACAGGAGGCTTATAAAAAAGCTGAGAGGAAACTTGGACACAGTACCTTCAGTGAGGTAATCACTGCGTTATTTTGCCACCCATGTGCAAAAACTCAAGAGAACTCTTTCTAAAGACCCGATTGTATCAAACACTCTCAAGTTACTCTATAAAGAGGAGTGAAATGAGTTTTTCCTATCAGGCACATTGTTTGGGGATATGCGTGACTAGGATGGCCAGACGTGGAAAAGCTGCTGCCCTCACCCTCAGAGCTGTGGGTGCAAAGTAAGCTGTCCTAACCAGCAAACCTGCACGGCTTTGATGTAGAAAACGAACAGCAGAATGTACATGTCACAGAGAGCTGAAGAATAACCACTCGACCAGAGAGCAACCACATTCTGCACCAGCATGTGGACTTTAACCTACATGAAGACTGCTGCTGCCAGCGTTAGCCACACACGGCAATCTGATCTGGCATCTCGCATGCAATATGTCACCAAGTGCCTCGTTTCATTTTATAAACACTTTTTCTTTTTAGGAAACTCTGCACAACTGAGTCAATGACAGGTGCAGACAGGAAAATATATAGTAGCACCTCGGCAGACAGTCCTGCTTACCATAATATTTTATTCAGTTACAACATTTCAGCCTGTGTGACCTTCGTCAGTGTTTCATAAACACTTTAAATATGATGTATTTAATAAGAAATGTGAATAAAGGCTTAAAATGGCACTCTGATATACATACAGTGTAAATTTGATTGTTTTGTTCTGTGACTTTTTAGTATCCATTCATTCAACCGATGTGAAAAATAATAAATGTTCAAATGAACTGCAAAATAGAATCAGGTGGCCCTCTCAAGTACAATCTGAAGTGAGGTTATGGCACTGTAACCACACATAGCACTACATTACAAATACTTTCATAAGTGATCATGACAGACAGACAAAAATCTTTCCATTGAGAAGCTATAAAGTACACATTTTTTTCTCTTTTACTTTTGAAATGATTCCTATAAATATGATGATTTAGTTTCCTTTAACAGTTGCTGCAAAAATAGATTGGTGGTTTCAGCTGTAGTGATTTGGGTGGAGTATCAGTATACATTTGGTTTGCTTTAAAAAGGCACAAACTAAAGTTGTACCTTTAAGGAAGAGAAAAGATCGTCTTTTAAAGCTCTATGGTCATGAGATAAGAGCTTTTGTCTCAATAAGATGAGAGGCCAGCTGGGCCGTGTGTTCGGTTTATCAGCCCTTTAGTTAGTCATCACCTCTTTTGTTTCTTATCAGGATCCTCTGGTTAAGTTTTTCCAACCTGAACCAGAACGTTAGCTTTACTGTCCCGATGCAGTACAGACGCACACAATGAAATGCTTTTCTAGCTGCACTGTGCACACATACGAAATAAAACTTTATCCAAAAGTTAGTTTAACACCTGCAGCTACCTAGTAAAGCCCATATTAATTTGAGCCTTGAGGTTTACTCAGGTCAACAAATGGTTAAACCCTTCAGAGTCTGGTGTGCTCAGCCAAACTGTGTCCTGGGGTCAGCTCACGACCAGCAGCAGCAGCATGAAATGTTAGCCAGTGCTGGGCTGAGCCGTTTCACCAATCTGATGTAAAATATTGTTAAATGGGAGCCCCAGGCAGTCATGGCATGGCGCCAGCAAGCCTCTGCTGAATAGAGAGTGTGATCTGCCAGCTTAGAGACCAGAAACACAGAGAGACGGCAACCAGGAAGTTCTTAAACTTGACTTTCATACCATCTTTATTACTTTTGAAGAATTTTCTTGGTTAGACACTAGCTCGTTTCACCTCTAATCGAGCAATATGGATGAAATTCCTCCATCATCTTGTTCCATATCACAATGATAACGAGCTGTACTGAAAAGCTCATTGCAGCTGGAATCAGCAGTGACGTGGCTTACACCAGCGGTCCCAAACCCCGGGGCCACGGACCGGTACCGGTCTGTGAGTCGTTTGGTACCGAGCCGCGAGAGTTGAGGTTTGGGGTGAAATTCATGGTTTTCAGGGTTTTCACCATTAACTTGTGTGTCTTATTTTGAAAGAAATATTTACGTGTTACTATAGCGACCAGAGAGCATTAAGGGGCAGAGAGGAGGATGTTACTCTAAATGTTGTTAATGCTAATAAAGTTACACAATTACACAGTGAATTCGCGTTTATTATTATATTTACAAAATACAACAGTTTTTGTCTTGGTCCTGTCATTTTATTTTGTTGTATTTATCCGTCACACCTTAAAGGCCGGTGAAAATATTGTCTCACATTGTCTGACCGGTCCGTGGTGCAAAAAAGGTTGGGGACCGCTGGCTTACACGATTGTCTAACAAGTGAACGCTCCCTGGTTTGATTCCTGAATGAGAGACAAACCAAACATGCAGAACTACCTGCTGTAAGCCTGCAGCTGAAAGTACTGCACTGAATGGGATGACGATGTTCGTGTTTGGCTTATTACATTGTGTAATAATGATTAAATCAAGTTATTTCATAACTATCAACAATCCTGTAAATCCAGTATTGCCAAAAAGCAGTGACTACACAATGATGTGCTCACTCTGACCTAATAACATAACGCAACCACAAGGACAGCTTGTATTACACACACTTGCCACATTGAACTATAAAAGGCCTTACGGTTGAATTTTATGCCTAAGATTCATATTTCAAAGTTTGTTAAACTGATTTTATGCTGCATTTATTTATTTATTTATTTATTTTTTAATGTAAATAACAGACCAAAAGACAGACTGACCAATCAGAACGCTGCATTTGGCAACAAGTGCATTTGTAGCTTGCGGTACGCTCAGCGGTATTGAACATATCCCGGTCAATCGGATCTCTGACATGATCTATTTGGCTCCTCAAATGTGGCCCCAACTCTGCCAACAAGAGCTCAAACTGTCCGACTGACATCCTGAAATATGTACGGAGGCTTGCACAGTGCACTACTTTCAGGCGTAACAGCACTAACAGCTTCTTCTCTGCTGGCTCTGTGAATGAACTCTTGCTCCAATGTCTTGCACTGCAGCTGAGAGCGACAGTCGTTGTTCTGCTCTGCAGCCAATGAGCTGTGGCAGCACGTCAACCAGTTCTCCTCTTTCTGCAGATCCAGGTTAGAGTAACACAGCTCGCAGTAGTTCTCCAGAGCGGAACAAGGACTTCTGTCTCCAGCTGTAGTCCAATGTGATGAAGCTCAACTATGTCCTTCAAGAGACCCTCTGCAAGGATCCAGCTGTGGATCGCCACAACAGAAACTTAGCCCACTGAGTTGGCAGTCAACATTTTCTCAGAAAAACAAAAAATAGAAATAAATGAATAAATGAAAGCTTATCTAGTTTACATTTTTAAAACTTACTCAACAGTTTGCAATGACTAAATTTCAGCAAGTGACAAACTTTCGGCATGAAATGCAATCAAGGCATTTGGAAACTATACAAGTCAAAGTTTCTACCGCCAACATTTTGGCCTCGACTGTAGTCACAGCTCCAAAGCACTGACCTTCAGGCTTAAAAATGCAGAGTCCAAAATCAGTAGCCGTGTCCATCTTTGACATACAGTCAGTGGATATGAGCGATAATTAGCATGTTACGAATATGAAACAACAAAGTGTTTGTGTGGCTGGTTTACATTTCATTCTTTCTCATGCATCCAGTGATGAGACCAGGACATGAAGATGTGAACTGTACACCAAGATTTTGTATAGCAGAGGACTGTGTCTCAAGCAAATCAATTAATAAGTAGGTTTCCATGACTACTCTTTAACATTTGTATGATAGGATACACACCGACACACAGGAATACAAAAAACACCTTTTTTTTCTTTTCTCTTTTTTTGCACACTTCAGTTAAACTTGGCCAGCATACCCTTGCATTCCCAGACAAACTGTGAATGTGACTGTGTGTGTGTGCGCGTGTGTGTGCATCACTGCCTCCAACAGACAGAAAGAGAGGTCATCCAGTGCAGAGAAATGATGACTGGGCAGCTGACACAGGAAAGAAAGAGTTAGATAGAAGGAGGAATAAAGGGAGGGGGAGATGTAGGTCACTTCCCAATTGTCAGTGAGTCATTGCTCTGGATCACACCCAACAAACATTCAAGAAGAGGGGGACACACACACACACACAAACACACGCGCGCGCACACACACACACACACAGCTTCTGTGTTGTTGCTGAATATGTGTGCCTGGGTCTGTGTATAGCCTTTGGCCTTTGAACTTGTTTGACACTCTTCATTCCAGTCACGCAAAGACACACACACACACACACACACACAGGGCAACCATCCCCATCTTTACAGCCTGGATTTACGAGCGCTCCTCTCTTGTTCCTATATGCCCCCCCTCCCCTCTCACCAGCTAACCAGAGTCCACTTTGCACTTTTCCTCTTTATTGCTTTTACTCAGTTGTGCAAGCTGTGACATCACTGCAGCATCACCACAGGGTTACAGTCTGACTCTCAGGCTTAGTGCTTCAGCCATGTCACAGTGGGGTGGGGCAACACTGTCGAATCATATCAATGAAGTTATGTATTTATATATTCTCGTGTTAGTCCTGTGACACATGCGCAGCCCATCCCGAGTGAATGCGACCTTTAGCAGGCTTTAGCAACCCTCCCACAACTGGGATGCACCAGTTGTGAAATTCTAGGTAAATAACAGTGTTTCAAATCAACAATTTGCATTAGTAGATACCGAGATTTTATTTCTAGTTGTTGTTGCTATTTACTTGCCAATCTGTTTCAATTACCTGACCCATTTGCGGTCAATATTCGGCCAACAGCTGATGTCTCTACAGTTTGAGTTTGTTTTTGTCCCCCTTTTTGTACCAGGGAGGAAGTGAAAGCAGCAGCGCTATTAATATCAAACATCACTGAACATTTAGCCAGTGCAAAACGGAGGTGACACAACAGATGAATACTGGCCACTGTAAATCACATCTAATTCCCTGAGATCAGTCAGCAGGGCACATAATGGCTGAAACTGATATTCTGCATACATATCGTACCTCATCGAAGCATCAAAGTGTCTGGATGGTAAATTTATGCACCTTATATGGTAAGGAGCAAAGATTATTCCACAACTGAGGCCAAACAGTGCGCCATCACCTCCCCCGATTACTTCTTAAAGCAAAATTCTTATGCATACTATGTATGTGTGTGTACATATATATACACACATGTATGTATATATTATACACACATGTATATATATATATACATATACATATACACACACACACACTGATAGCTTAGGGTGAGAGGAAGGGTACACCCTGGACAGGTCGCTGGTCTGTCACAGGGCTAACACACACACAGAGACAATCATGCACACTCACATCTCATACATGTGTGGTTTTGCCATTATGCACCAAAATGACGCAGTCATCATGATACTCAAACTCAGAGGATAGTCATTATCATAAACTGGAATATTCTTTATCAGTCATTCATATCTTTACAGTTTAGACACACCGAGGTTAACTGGCTGATGGCACCATGGACGCAAATATCAACGGGCAACAACGTCACGTAATGATGTCAGTTACCATGGTTTGTCTGTTGTGTCAGATCAATGTAGCGATTTTGTGACAATGGGCTGAAAGACTTTAAATCACTAAAGACTTTTAACTTCAATAACAAAGATTTTGTCCTGGGCTGAAAAGGGAAAAAAACAATATAATCAAAATGAACAAATAATACCAATAAAAGATGCCTACGGGCCTTAGTTGTTACCGAAAACATTAATCCCAGTTTTATTTACAATCTGCGTTTGTTTCAGTTTCAAGTGTGTGTGTCCAATAGTTCATTGGTAACTAAATAAATAAATGTACGATTATATGAACACTTTATAGAATTGTAAGTTTATAATATGGACACTTGCGACAAACCACAATTTTAATCGGTAGATTAAGCGCATTCTTAATTCATAACTCAAAGTTTGGCTTAAAAAAAATGTCTGAAAGTGGTGTAAAGGTACTGATCAAAATTAGCTAAAGCCCGAGATGACACACAGCATGTGTCAATTACAATTGAAAAAGAGGAAACGCGATGACAAAGTGAAACAGCTGGGACCAGTTTATGTCTTTATATTTTTGTCCAAACCCTCCTGACACAGAGGTGACAGCTGTGACCAAAAGCTCACAAAAGCTGTAAAGACTTTAAAGCACGTTATTAATTAAGGACACTAGCTAAGAAAAGCTAAATGGTGTAGCTGTGTCCTCACTTCTCATTCAGCAGGCTAAAAACAAACCGTGGCAGCTCGAAGAGGATGCTGGCATGTGTCCCAGCTGGCCTCAGCTAACGGATGTACTCATTCCCTTCAGCTGACAAGAATACTCCAGCATGAGCGCTGGATTATCCTGCACTCCCCTGGTACTTGTTTTAACTCATTTAAGTACTACTACAGATCTATGGCCGATGATGCAGCGCTCTGTGTAAAACTCCAACATGACAAATAATCTTTGTCTCACTCACAGTGGCTGGATCCGCTCCAGTGCCTGCCGGTCAGCAGAGACCCTCCAAAGGGGCGCTGGAGTCCTCCTACAACGGACAAGAGTCCCTTCTCCGGCCCGAGCCCCGGGGGTCTGTGGTAGTAGTCCATGCTTAGAAAAGAGCCCGTGCTTGGGCTGCTGGGGCTTGGGCTTAAACCCACAACATCCACGCTTTCGTACATCTCCGAGAGGCGGGAGTCGGGATGTGGTCTCTGTGTGGTAAATAGAGGGAGGGGGGGAGAAGATCAAAGCGTCCTGGACGGCGATGAGAGAAAGAGGAGCGGAGGGAAGGAAGAGTTCACATCTTCATAACAGACTGATAGGAGCCAGAGGAGGAGGAGGAGGATTCCCGGTGACCTTTCAGGCTTCGGACAAACGTAGTTAACAGTCAAACTTTGCCGTCTTTTGTGATGTTATTCATGTATTCTTTTGTGTCTCTTTCACAAATTAAACATCGCTACAGTCCAAATGCTACAAGTGCTAACAACCCAAGTGCCGCTGCTACCTCGAAGCCCTGAAAAGACGAAAAGACTAAAAGCCAGGGGAGAGAAACACTGTCGCTCCAGTCGCCTCTCGCACCGTCACACAGTCGTGTGTCATGTTTTACTTCATAGTGAGTGTGGGCTGCCGCCTGCGTCCGCTGATCCACAGCTCCTATTTTCTATTAGGCTAAATATATCGTGTCATACAACTTGCCCCTGAAGCCACCCAGGTGAAGTCTTTTTCACCGACATTGTGCTCCGTAATGTCACAGCCAGTACACTCTGTCCTGAAATCCACGCACGCTGTCAATGAATGTAACCAAAGCCTTAAAGTAAATCGGTCCGGTCGGTTGGTGCGTCGCTCGCTCCGGTTTAGAGAGTGCACGCATTAAAAGCAAAAATACGCAAAAAAACGAAAAAAAGCCCAGAGCCGACACATTAATTCTGCAAATGTGAGCGGTGTGGGACTTTGAAGTTGCTGCTGTATATGTAAAGAGCAGAATATCCAGAGGTGAGGAAAGCTGGAGAGATAATCCGAGGCAGTCAGGAGCGCTGCTTGTTGCTAGTAGCTGAGGTCCAGCAGCGGTACACGAGTGTCCTGTGGTAACCCCCACTCTGTACCCGACGGCCTCTCTCTCTCCCCCCACCCTCTCTCTCTCTCCTCTCTCTCTCGCTCTCTTTCTGGTTGGTGAGAGACACCAGCTGCGCACGAGCTCCCCCTACTTGTCATGCGCGAGCCTCCAAATAAAACCTACCTGCTTTGTTCCACCAGGAGGAGGGTATAGAGTTAAAGGAAATGATCTTAATCGTGGCTTCCCTTGCCCCCATATAAGGGCTTTCGGAGATTTGCCTGTCCCATAACAGTTTGGTAATGGAGTAAATTTAAACAGTACATTTTAATCACTGAACAATTCACTTGCAGCAGTTTGGCCCACTGCCATTCCCCAACTTCCCTTTACTAGATTATCTTAAAACAAATGAGTGTGTGAGAAAGACCTCTTTTCTACCACTCGGTTATTCTAGCTTTGTATATTCCAATTTTTAAATTAAGTTTTATCCTTTTTTTTAAAAATTCATTTAAGTTTCAATGAGTTTCCATAATGGATTTTCTCCTTTCAGTTTAGATTTTATTATTTGAAAAAGTTTCAGTGTTTGAATCTTTTTAGTAACTTCTCTATGGAGGGCATGTATCAGAGCCAATACTTAGTTTTGAGATGCAGTTTACATTTTGTGATAGTTTAAGTTTCTACTTGCACAACATTTTCAGCTATAATATATATTTCACTTTTTATTCCAAGAGAATTGTCAGATAAACTAATGTTCTACATCCAAAGTGTATTTACTCAGGCTCAACAAATGAGGGGACAAGGAATCATGTAAGCTCCATTTTAACGGAATTCAGTATCAAGATACTGTAAAATCTGCTGTAAGTATTCAGCATAATCAAATGTTGACCAACTGCTGCACAGCAAGTAACTGAGAGGCCATTAAAGCACTATAGTAAAAATGAAAAATCATTGTAAAAAACAAACAAACATCTTTTTTCAAAGATACACTTGGGCAAGTCTTGGATATAGCTGTGTTTTGCACTAAATCCTAACCTGAAAAGGGTAAGCAGGGGTGCTGTGTTTTCAGTGGGGAGGTGCTGTTATCAGGTAGGTGACTAGATCTGTTGAGGGATGCCGTTCCAGAGTTTAGGAGCTACAACTGAGAAAGCCTGTCTGGTCTGGAACAACAGGCACTAAAACCTGCTGGTCAACTGACGCAAGCGAGCAGTGTGGGACCATAAACTATAAATGCTCTGTGTGCACTAAACTTTTATTTTACACTGTTCAAATATTTGATGCCTATGTTCTGAGCTATAATCCATTTTTGTAGGGTTATGAGAAGGCTTCGACAGTGACATCAACAAATATAGAAAACAGCTGACAAAAAAATATGCTTTCATAAATGCTGGATTTAATTGAGCGCGCACACCTACATTAAACCTTAATGTTAAGCCTCTGTCTATCCATTATTCTGTCAACTTACATTTGCAGTATCTGTCAGCAGAAAAGCAGAACAGCAGCTGCTAACCATCACAAAAAACAACAAGGTTAATAAATAAAATGTTTTATGCTATTTGACTCAGAAAAATACATTTAACACAAATCTCAACTACAATATTAAATTATTGTGTAAGGACTTGAGCATATCACGTTTTTTCATTATAAATGGCAACAAATACATAAAAAATAAATAAATACTGTCAAGAATAAAGAGTCTATGTGCTGAATATACAGAAAAATATGAAGTAGTTGCTTAAAAGCAACTTCATAAAGATAAAGAGCAGTAAATGGACTTTTGGACTGTGTAGGAGGTAATGACAGATGGTGCTGTGACAAGGATACTGGAAAAAGTTTGGACACGGCTTCTCATTTAACGGTTTTTCTTTATTTTTACTACTTTCTTCATTGTAGATAGATACTGAACATGTCAAATATATGAAGCAAGATTTATGGAATTATGTAGCAAAGAATAAATAAAAAAATAACTCTAAATATGTTTTATATTCTAGATTCCTGAAAGTAGCCACACTTTGCTTTGTTGACAGTACTGCAAACCCTTGGCCTTTTCTCAGTGAGTTTCATCATGTAGTTGTCACAGTACTGGGTACAGTACTGGGTTTGAGACCCAGTAGGTGTAATTCTAGTTAAAGGTATAGTCTTGAATTTGTTGTTCTTCATGGTTTTGGTTCTCTTTATTGTTTTTCTGCTGGTGTTATATTCTTGGTTCCTAGGCTTTAGGTTTCTGTTACTTTGTTACTTTCTAATCACGCTTGTCTCCATGTACCCTCTGTCTCCTCAGTTAGTTGTGTCTCCATGTCTCAGTGTCAAGTCGGCGGCTTTGTAAATGTCTCTTAGTTCCTGTTTTACTTTGAAAGTCTTGTGTCCCGTACTTATTGTTTGCAGTTTTGCTTCCTCCACATCTCGTTATGTGTGATTTCTCCCAGCTATGTTTTCCTCCTGTGTCTCATTCCCTCATTATCCCTTTGTGTATTTAAGCCCTGTGTTTTCCTCTGTCTGTTGTCATGTTGTATCCTCTTTGCTGTGTGTTTCTTCCGTGCTCCTAATAATGTCCTAGTTCCAGTTTAGTTTCCTAGTTTGAGTTCTGTGTTCTTGAGGTTTTTATATGGTTATACAGCAATAAAGCTACCTCCTTAAGTTCATCCATCTGTATCTGTGAGTGCGGCTTTTGGGACCTCATCCTGCCTGCCACAGCATTACATGACAAAAGTTACCTGAAATGATTTCACTTCACAGCTGTGCACTGTCAGGGTTCATTTGTGGAATTTCTTGCCTTCTTAATGGGGTTGAGACCATCAGTTGTGTTGGACAGAAGTCAGGTTGGTACACATTTGAAAGCTGTTAGAATTCATATTATGGCAAGATGCTAAGTAAAGAAAAACGACACTCCATTGTTACTTTAAGAATTGAAGGTCAGTCAGTCTGGAAAATTGCAAAAACTTTGAATGTGTCCTGAGTGCAGTTGCAAAAACCATCAAGCGCTACAATGAAACTGGATCACACGAAGACCGCCCCAGGAAAGACCAAGAGTCACCTCTGCTACTGAGGATAAATTCGTCCAAGTCAACAGCCTCAGAAACCTTAAGTTAACAGAACCTTAGATTAGAGCCCAGATAAATGCCACACAGAGTTCCAGTAGCAGAAATATCTCTACAACAACTGCTCAGAGGAGACGGTATGAATCAGACCTATATGTCGAATAGCTGTTAAGAAACCACAACTAAGAAAAAGCAACAATCAGAAGAGATTTGTTTGGGCCGAGAAAAACATGGAATGAACATTAGACCAGTGGAAATCTGTTTTGGTCTGACAAGTCAAAATGTGGGATCTTTGGTTCCACCTGCCGTGTCTTTGTGCGACACAGAAAAGGTGAAAGGATGGTCTCTACATGCATGGTTCCCACCGTGGAGGTGTGATGGTTTTGGGGGTGCTTTGCTAGTGACACTGTTGGATGATTTATTCAAAATTGAAGACACACTGAACCAGCATGGCTACCACAGCATCCTGCAGCGGCATGCCATCTCATCCAGTTTGGGTTTAGTTGGACCATCATTTATTCTTCAATAGGACAATGATTCCAAACACATCTCCAGGCTGTGTAAGAACTTGTCATGGTCCTGAGTCTGAGGACTCAGTGTTTTGTGTTTCCTTATGCTTTTGTTCATTCCGAGTGTGTATTCTGTTGTTATTTTGCCATTTGTTAGGTTTCTGTTCTTTGCCTGCCTGCTCCCACTTCTCTGTGTTCCCTCTGTCTGTCCATGGTGTTATTGTGTCTGCTCATGAGTCTGCCTGTCAAGTTCAGTATCCTGTCTGGTTCTCTGTCTGTTAATTTCCTGTTTTATTCTGAAGGTTCATGTCTGATGTGAGTGTTCAATTTACATTTCCCCTGTCCCGTCAGCTCTGATTTCTCCCTGCTGTGTTGCCCTCCTGTCTCTTATCCCCTGATTACTGGTGTGTGTATTTAAGCCCTGTGTGTTCTCCTGCCTGTTGCCGGTTCGTCTGTATTACTCCATGTAAGTCCGTGCTTTTCTGCATTCATCTGTGTCTCTCTGTGTTTTTGTATCCTCCGTCAGTCTGCGTCTCTCTGCCTTTCACCCCGTGTCCTGTGGATTTCTAGTTGCTCTTTAGTTTTCCCAGTTTAGGTTTCCGTTAGTTTGTCTCATTATTCGTTTTCTGTTCCTGCCACTGACACCTTGTAAATAAACTCCACTAATCTTTTCATACACTGCTTGCTCTTGGGTCCTTTTTCCAACTCCACACGGCTCGCCTCGGCAGCCGTGACAGTACGAACCGGCCACTATGGACCCAGCAGCAGTCAACCCGCCCGAGGAGCTCCGGGAGGACATTATGTACTCAGTGGACAAATTAATTAACCTATGGCTGGAGCATGAGGGGAGAGAATTCCGCCAAAGCATAGCTGTTCGGCTACAGCGCTTACTTTCTGGTCTCCCCTGGTTGCTCAGCTCACTTCACCCGCTCACACAGAATTTTGTTCTGAACGAGCTTCATCTTCTCCCCCTTGCTACCACCCACCCTGCAACTCATGCTTCACTCCCCGACCCGACGGAGAGTGTCCTGCCCGGCCCGTTGGTCCAGCCTTCAAATGGGGATCAGCACTCACGCCGTCGACGCCCCTCGCCACAGTCGGACCCCAGGATATCAGAGCGGCCGACTGAGGTGAGTAGGAAGGATAACAGTTCCAATTCGGACCTTAAGACTCTTTCTTCCGGGATTGTTCGGGGTGTGTCAGTGGGAGCTAATTCGCTAAGCCTACCTACCTTCGTGGTAACCGATCTCTCCCAGGTTGGCATTTTTAAGACTTCAGTGAAAGCAAAGGGCTGTTGTTCTTCTGAAACTGTTAAACCTGTGTCAGCCAACCCAGGGTCTGCTAAAACTGTGACATATAACCCAGAGACCATTAACACCAGCTCTGATGATACTAGGACTGTTTATTCAATTGAATAAACCGCGGCCTCAAGCTCAGTTAGCCGCACGGCCTCAAGCTCAGTTAGCCGCACGGCCTCAAGCTCAGTTAGCCGCACGGCCTCAAGCTCAGTCTCTAATTCCACC